CCTGCCCCTGCCCCTGCCCCTGCCCCTGCCCCTGCCCCTGCCCCTGCCCCTGCCCTCCCCTTTCAACAGTTTGGCACTTCTTCCTTTCTCAAAATCTTCAATTTTGGAACAAAAGGTTTGAACTGACCTGAAAAATCACATCTGCCTTTTTTCTTTTGTCAATTAAGCATCTGTCTTGATATTTAAACTAATATTTGTTTTGAGTACATCAATGATGGGATGTCCCTAGTTTCAGAACATACAGAATTGTGTTCCAGCATTTGCATTGCAGAGATTTCTTTGGTGGCCCTCTTAACCTATTTATGTAGTACAGTTGTTTGTGCAACCAAAGCTTGGTTTCTCTATATGGATGTGATCTTTGTTTCCATTGAATCTTTTATTCTTTCAGTGCATGTTATACACCATGACAATTGAGGCACTGTCTGTATTGCCACTGCCTCAGAAGTTGCCAAAGATCTTAGTAAGGGATTGAATAGATTGGAGGTTCCAAACAGAGGGCTCATATTCGTTTGGAAAAAACAGAGGAATGACAGCTGACTTTAGTTTGAAATGGTGTGTGTGATCTGTGACAAATACATTCTTTCCATGATGAGACAGAAGCACTGTAGTTAGGGTAGAAGCTATAGGTCACTTTCTAACATTTTTAGTAGCACCTTGTACATTCTTACATGGCAGTTTTGTGAAAACGTTAAGCTAATAACAATCAGGATGATTTTAGAACTGGCTGGAATTTACGGCTGTAAAGATTGACACCTCTCTTGTACTGCTATTGTACTGAAAGGCTGCATGGGGAGGAAAGAGTTTCCAAAATCCACAAAGATTCATGTTAACGATGGGCACACTGGACAGTGTGCGTATTTTAGACCGTAGACTGCATCTGGTTGGGAAGGACTTGCAAATGCATTGCTGTACATGGTGGTAATTTGAAATGGTTTCAAAAAAGAACCAGTGTTAAGTTTGATCAAGACAGAGTTGACTGGGCAGAAGTGATCTGCAGGGTGGGTAGATCAGGAGAATAGACAAATGTCAATTCTGTCTGAAGTCTTACAGATTACAAAGTGATCTTAAATGTGAGATAATTTTTGTAATAATAAATAAGTACATGAAAGTTCATGGGGATTTGTCAGATGTAGAATGCATGACAGACAGGATGAGAAACTTAATTGTTTAGCAGGGAGGAGGAGAGACTCAAATGGAAGATGATTCAAGTCTTCGAATAGCAAAGAGTCGTAATGTAAAGAGGATGATCTGTTCTCTCTGATGGATAAGACAGAAAGCACTAGGCTTAACTTCTTATGAGGAAGATTGGGACCAGGGGCAGGCAAGAGGCTGGTGATTACCAGACAAGTCCAGAGTAGTGAGGCAGGTCTGAGGTCAAGGTGGGAAAATAAGTCAGTAGGTCAGGGTTAAGAACAGGGCGAGCAAGATTCATGTCTAGGCACAGGTGTGCAGACAGTGTACCCCAGGCAAGGGCCTGAGCTCAAATGCGGCTCCTGAGCCAAAGGATGGAGGCCCTGGGTGAGGCGTCTGCCAGTTCTTTTCCCAGCAGTCACTCCCCAAATTGCAAAACTGCAGTGTACCAGATTGGATCTTCACCTGTGGGCACGTGAAGCCCTTGGGAGAGCAGGGAAGAGTTGCAAAGCCCATTGGCACAATTCAGGCCCTGACATTGAGTTAGATATTAAGAAAACATTTGGTGAAGAGAATTAGTGTGATAAATTTAGGCATAGCTGTTTTTCTTTTGAGAAGGGGGCACTGGATGACTTTTAGGGTAGCTCAGAGTCACATTTCCTGTGGTGGAGGCTAATAGAAGCTGTACTAAGACAGAAGTACTCACACTACCTGTTGTCAAAATCACCCCAGTTAAGTGATGCGTGAGGGGGTTTTTTATTGTTGGTTTTTGCATTTTTCTATGTTTCCTCTTTGGGATTCCTGTAATCCTGCTACTTGTTAATGCGAGTTAGTCATAGTGGCACGTTTTGCATGACAGTGTTGGGAAAGGAAGCATATATTTAAGAAAAATCTCATGTAGTTCTTGAATAGAACATGCAGAATGAATTGACAGACAAAGCATTTGTGGCTTAAGTTGGTCTTCAGTTGATATATAGTCAGGGATAAAAATACCTTTTCACAGAAATACAAAGTTTTTTAGGAAAATCTATGTGGAATTGAATTCTGTGTTTGGTGAAAGGCTTTATACCTGAAATAATAGTTGGGATCTCACACTGAGTATTCAGTAAGCTTAATTTATGCTGCTATGGTTCCATTAAAGAGGAAATCAATTAGCTCCCTCCTGGTTCATAAATTCAGTTGTTTAGACAATTTTTCAGGTTGGAGTAGACATGAGAGCATAATCTCTGGGGATTTAGTATCTTCCATGCACATGATATTCAGAAGGATCTTCTTATTGATGTTTCAAGCTCCTAAGAAACAGCTTTCAGATGCTTTTACCTGCACTAACTTGTAACTTTTTGAGAGGGAAAGAGTAGACTCTTAGAGTTAGATCCTTTAACAAACGAAGTCCTTTCTCAGAGCATGGAAGTGGTAGTTCTGCAACAAAACTGTGAATATTATTCCTGCTTCTTTTTCATCCTGTCTGGCATAAAAAGGCAAAACTGGTGTGTGAAGACTGTGCTTAAGGGCACTAGAAGACTTTAGCCCAAATTAGGTCTCTTTTGGCAGATGAATGATTTGACAGTGGAGGAGTATAATTTGTTGCAGAAGAATGCTAGTAACTGTCATTGCTCTCCTCCCATTTCCTGTTGTAACACAAAATGATTGAAGAAAAATCTGAAGTGCAGCATAGTAGGAATATCTCTTAATAATTTTCATGATCACAGCCTTTTGAAATTGTACTATAGGATTAAAATTATTTTCAACACTATTTTCTTCAAAATAAAAGTATCTCTTAAGAGGCCTTACTCTTGGAGATGGCCTGCTTTGAAGGAGGCAATGTTCAGATTGCTGCCAAATGCAAACCAATAGGTTCAGTCTTCCATTTCCCTAGCTTCCAGTTTAGTGAAAACATTCAGCAACTGTGCGGTTGTTCGAGCTCTATAAAGTTACTACGTGAACTTTATTCTCTGCAGGTAACTTACAACCCTCTTTGAAGACGGTTAAGACAGCAGAACACTTCAAGGAGGACAGTTCAGAAGCTTCAAGTCAGGAGGAAGGTAGTTGTGTACTCAAAGGTGGTTCTTTGAGATATTTTACCACATTCAGTTCTGGAAATCATACACTTGACTGATTTCTTCATTGGTATAAAGTGGTACAAAAATTGAATTAAATCTGCTGTGCAAATGAGGAATTTTTGTGTACTTTCAGCAGTTTCCTTAAGAGGTTGCTCTGTAATTCAAGAAGTGGCAGCGTTCATAGAGAGCTTGAATGCAGAAGTTCACAGCTGTGCTGAACAACCAGGAATATATATTTCACAATTGAAATAATCTTGAGCCAAGATGATTCATGGAGTTTCATTATTATTTTCATTATTTATAGACTTTTCATAGTCTTTGCCTATTTATTCTTCAGTTACCAGGGTTCAGAGTTAAGCGCAGTATTTCAAGGGTTGCAGACTGTTTTACATTAAATATGCCAAATTTGTTTAGCCTCTAGTTTTACACAGAAAGGAGTAAGTTTTCTTGTTCTTATTCGTAACCTATGCTGCTTTGATACTCTGGGCTGTTACTAAGTTTGGGACTGTAGTGAGTATTGATTACAGTCTGAAATCTGGTGTTTTTCAAATGCCTCAAAAACAGTTCACACATTGGAAGCAGCAGCCTGGTGTCTGGTCAGTAGTTTCATTCTGAAAGGAACAGCAAGCCGGTTTTGCAATGTTTTTGGAAGGAAATAAATATAATCTCCTGGTAGGTGGAAAGGATGGGAAAGGGGACTGATGTGTGAACATGGACCACTGAACACTTATGCTGGCTTTCAAGTAATGACAACACTCTTATCCTCTTTCACATTAATAACTCATAAGAAGTTTGCTGTTGAACTTGTATGGATTCAGTAATCTACGTATGCAGTTTGAGCAGCTTTTTCTTATGAAAATAATCATTGCCATATTCTTTAGAGTTCAGAACACACCAAGTAAATTTACAATTTTGATCAAATAGTCTTTTATATATTGTTCTTAAAAATACATAAATCTCTTCACCTGGTGAAACTACATATGCTTTTCAGAACACCTTTTGTACCATTTTGGTGTTTACCAGAAGTTTAAAAATCATTAGTTTTTTTCTCAAAATTTTAAACTATAATTTGGACTTACGTGTAGCGTTGAGAGGAGTTCAGTCAAAAGCATAAGTACCAAGAATACCAAGATCATTAATAGGTGGAATTAAGGAAAGTTGCTTTTGCTAAAATTTAATAGTTGCCTTAAAGAAAAGGGTAGACTGTGTCTCTAAAGTTCTTAGTTTTTTTTCATAGACTCTTAGAATGGTTTGGGTTGGAAGCAATCTTAAAGTTCCAAACCATCCGCCACAGGCAGGGAACCTTCCACTCTACCAGGTTACTTAGATCACCACCCAGCCTGGCCTTGGAGGCAGTATTTCTTTTTGTCAGATGTAATTTGTAAAGTTTTACTTGCATAGTGAATTTTCAGGTTCAGAATGCAGTACTTTAGTGTAGGACTGGTCTTTGTGTGCTAGTCAGAATGTGTTACAAAGTTTTGCGATTAATTTCAGTAGTTCAGAGGAAATTACAAAATGTTGTATTTTTTTCTGACTCATTCCTTTCCTCTCTCTCTATTCTTTCGTACTGGGTGATACTCAGTCATGCATTCAGTGCTTAGAATTAAATACAGAGATGAGCAAACATTAGCATTGTCATGGTTCCTCTCTTTCATTCTTCTGTGAAATGGAAGGTAAAGTCTTGTTTATATCATCTGTACAAACTGATTTGTCTTTTATGCACCTGCCAATTTCAGCACTGTAAATTAAGCCTGGCTGTTTAATGAAGATGTCTTCTGCTATGTGCCTGATAGTGATGGAAAGGTGAATTTGCTGGATTGATTTAAAAGATTAAATAGAATTGCTGTTGAAATTTGGCTTTGTTTTTTTTTTTTCCAGATGTAATGCAACACACAGCAGTTCACAAGAAGCATAATGGAAAAAGTCCTGTTGCCAAGTAGGTACTAGGATGTAATGTGACCATGTTACATGTCTGAACTTCCATTTCTTAGTGCTTTGAGAGTATGTGTCCTTCTAGATTAAAGCTTGTTTGTGGAGCTTTTGTTTTGTGGGGTGTTCTGGTCTTATTTTTATTGTCTGGGAGGTTGTTACTAACTTAATCTCTATTAGAAAAATAGTTCAGAAGACTATTTCTAAATCTTTCTAAATAGGAAAAATACATGCCATAGAGATTGCTACTACTCATAAACACAAATCAAAACATCAGTTCAAATAGTGAAGATGCACAAAATTTAGGACAGAAGAGCTATCCAAATTTTGTGAATCTTCACTATTTGAATTGATATTTTGATTTGTGTTTATGAGTAGTAGCTGTCTCTATAGCATGTGTTTTTCCTATGTGCACATACCCCCATGCTTGTACTGAAAATTTTCAGTGCTGTTGATTTGAAGCTTAAGTAACCTCAGAGAAGAGCTTATAGGTGAAGGTAGTCCATTGTTGCCCTTGCTTACTGGCATATGCATGCACAGCTAGCTTGCTGGTTTGTGTCCATTGTAAGTGGAACCAGTTCCTAACCATATTTAAGTAGTTTACATATGCCTTCAGATCCCTGAAGTACCTAGTGTGAATTAACTCATTAATGTATTTTGATTAAAAACTTAAGATATGTTTGCACATAGTTGTGCAATAATTGAATTAAATTAAGGGAAAGAAATGGATACGAAATTTATTGGGATTTACAGTTTTGTTCAGTGTTGATTTATCTGTAAAAGGTATTTATCTTGTGGTGAAAATGTACCTGGAATTCCAGTAATTAGAATATAAACATAGCACAGAACAGTTGGTTAAGGTCCACAGATCTTTTAACAGACAAAATTCTTGTGAATTTACCACAAGACAAGTTAGTGGTTTGTGTCTGTTTTGGTTTTTAACTCCCCTTCTTTCAGCGTATATTTCCTCAAGAAGAAAGTGTCATCTTGACAAAATCTGCGATTACACTGGTGGATATACATACAGCCTACTACAAAGTCATCAGAACAGGATTCAAAATTAGTAGCTTATAGTTATTAATACAGAAACTGTCTTTTTTTTATTCATTGTACAATGAATTATACTAAAGTTGACTGTAGTTTAGGGTCTATCTTTTAGGTAGGAAAGAGAGGAACAGACATTTCCATAAAGTCCTGAGAAAGAAACTCCTTTAGTTAACTGTTATTTTCTGTTTATCTAAGAGGGGGAAATGTGTTTACTTCTTGACTGCTAGGGGTCTGTTAGTCCTCTCCTGTTTGGTTTATGTGTCTGTCTCCTTAAAATCTATGCCTGTTGTTGATGGGTTGTAAAGAAATGACACTGAATTAAACTTTTCTCTTTTAAATATGCATAAAACTGTTTGGAGTCACAAGCAGTTCATCTCAAATAGCAGCGGTACACCGTGCATCTGTCTACCTCTTGTTTTCATTCAGAATTGCAGCCTTACTCTTGAGAGGTTCAAAAATTTACTGGTAGGAATGAGATCACACATACAAAACAAAAACTTCAGCCATACTACAGTTTCCATGAATTGACTGCAAATTTGGCTGTGAAATAATTTATCTCCACTTGGTAGAAGTTTATAAAGTGACCTTGCTTCCATCTTTGCAGTCAGGGGCTTACATCTGTCTTTTGGGACCTTCTTGGGTTCTTGCCATTAATTTTTTTTATATTCTGTTGTGTATCTTTTAAGTAGTTTGAGCCCTTACTCACAGAGGTATTTGATAAGTAGCTACTGGAACTTCAGCATGTCTTGTGCTTTCAAGTGAGCTGGATTTTTGCCATCATGGGAACTGAGTAACATTTCATATTGCAGTAACCTTTCTGAAGCCACTTGCCAACAGCCCTGAATTAAAAGGCATTTTCAATTATCACCATAAGTATTTAGATAAGAATTTAAAAGTGTTAACTCCTTTTTTCTTTTTTTCTTTTGCATCCAGCCAGCAGTAAGGCATGTTTTTGTATGAGGCACGAAAAGATTATGGATCCCTGTGCCCTACTGACTCTGTCAGAACCCTGACTGTTTTTTCAGCAGCTTTTGTTTACCAGTGGTCTCAGACCTAGTTGAGCATTGCTTCTGACCAGCTGCTGTAGAGCAAAGCTTCAGTGGAAATCACTGTGAAGTCCAAAGTAAATTCCAAGTGCAACTCCCCTCTCCCTGCACTACTCAAAACTAGCATTCATGAAGGTAAAAATGCAAAGCAAGTTAACTATTTTGAAATTGAAACAAACACAGCTGCAGTATGATCTGTAGTAACTGTGTGCTCCTTTCTTTAATTATCTCATGAAATCTGAAACAGGGATTACAAAGTAATTCTGGTTTTGTCATTAATGTTAAGAAAGAAGATGAATTCAGAATACATTGCTATCTGGAATATTTCCACACATCTGGTATGAAAATAGTGAAGTTTTTATGTGTAGAAGTATCCAATGAAACTCTTCCCTCAATTACTGTTTTCTACAAATTCTGTTGTTCTGAATTCTACAGCAAATTATAGTAGACAAATGAAAAAGGAACTCAAATTATGGTCAGATCATAACTTTAGAGCACAAGAACTGCTGTAATTTACATCTTTTAAATCTCTTGAAAATTCCTAGGGTTTTCTGAAAGCAAAATATCCCAACATGGTGTGAAATATGTATGTTGGTAAGAAAAGCCTGCAGGTTTGTTCATATCAGCATAACTTTGGGGTTTGTTTTTTTTTTTTTCAGCAGCACTAGCAGTGCAAAATGTTCTTCACTGGATAGCCTTAACATACAGCACTCGGAGCAGAATGGGGTGATGGACTGGAGAAGGAAAAGCTGTATTGTCCAGCAGCACCCAGAGCACTGTAGTAACCTACTTGACCAGGTGTGTTACTGTTTATTCTTTAAAACCATATTCTGAGACATTTGAGAAGTCTTCCCACTACACATGATGAGATTTAGCTTTTAAAAGATGAAATGTGCTCTTAAAATTGTGCAAAATAAGTGTTGAAGTTGCTACTGACTTAACTTGATTAGAAAATGCTTCATAATTCCTTACCACTGTCTCAGAAAGCTGAATATTTTGTTAATGAATTTGTAAAATAAAATTTCCCAGCAGAATGTAAGTAATCAGAAAAGTCTAATGTTAATTTCTGATTAGGCACTTTCCTGTTACTTAAGCATTGTGATCAGAGAGGATTCTGTAACACTTGGGCAATTTCTGTTATTGCAAGGAAGAAACTAGGAACTGTATTAGTAGCTAAATTGTGTTAATGCTACAGTAGGTACAACAAGTTAAACATTCTTTCTATCTTACCTGCATTATTTAAATAATAATTGAAAAAAGTTATTAGATGGATGCATATACACTTTGAGATTTGTGTCTCTTCAGTGCTCAATCTCATTGTGAATGTAGGTAAGCAGAATAATTATTTATAAATAAAATTATCTACTAATGAAACTGGGGGAAGGAAGCTCGCTCACTGCCTATATATGAAAAATCCAGAATATTAGAATTGCTTGATATTTGTTTTTGAGTATTTTTGAGTATTTCATACTCTTATTTATGTTTGGAATTTGGCTATTGATTGTTATGTGTGGAATAGCAAGTCAGACAAAAATAGTTTCCGTATTTCATAAAGCAGGGTAATTGAGGTTGGCTTCTAAACATGAAATGGTAGACTGCATCAAAGCTTGAAATGCTGCAAGCTTGAAGCAAGAAAAAAGCTAATTACTAAAGCAGAGGAAAAGCTATTTAAAGGAAGACCAGATACAATGATTTGGACAGAGATTATTTCAGAATTTTCATAAATTTTACTACCTTGCCAAATATGAGTTGTTAATAACAGTTAGTGATAGTATACATGAAAAATTGTGTAGGTCCTATGTTTTTCTTATGTGCTTGTATGCTGTATTCTACAGTTTAGTTTAGCAGCTTAAACCTCCAGTTTAAGGCTAGGTACCTGCTTGTCACTACATAGAAGTAATTTGTCACATGTACTTCTTACTCCCAACTATCAAATGATTCCATTTATATCAATAAATTTAGTAGCTCCTTAAGCTTGGTGATGGTTCTTTATAGCAGGTGTGTGATGAAATACATTTGGTTTTATCCTCTAGAGGAAGAACAGTATGCAAACAATAATTTGATTGATATGGCATACTTGCAAGTAGTAATTTGCTGAGTGTTTTGCTGATTCTCATGTAAACACAAGACATGATGCATTATTTTACAGGCTCAGATGCACTGAACAAGTGGTTTTTTTGGTGGTTATAGCACCTATGAGCACACTACTCTTGGAGTTGTGGACCTGTTGGTCTAGAAAAGGTGCTTTCTTGGCTTTGATAAACCACTTCTGTTGCTTGACGGGCGTCTTTGTATTTTCTGTCTAGCACACAGTGGAAAAACGAAGTCTGTCTGCAGTAAGCAAGAAGAAAGGAAAACCACAGCTGGAAAAGTAGGTTTCCAATGTAACCAGTAATCCAGAAATGAAGTGTAATGCATTTACTCTGATGAACAGAGTCTGCAGTCGATTAGGTGCTTTTATTTGCTGTGGTGGCACAAGAGCTGGTATAGTGTGAAGCTAAACTACATAAAAATCCTTATTTTCTCTTCTGTAAAGAAATAACTTGAAAAATAGAATTTAAGTGAATGTGCTCATTTCTCAAAATATTGCTTGATATTTAATAAAAAGATGGAGTAGAAGTACGTTCTAAACCAATACTAAATTGCCTTTTTCCCTTTATATTTAATTGAAACTTAAAAGGTGTAAAGCTATCCGGAATATACTGAAAATCAAATGAGGGTTGATAGCAACCTTTAACATTATGAAGTGGGTGGTAACTGGCTGTAATGTCATATTGAAGATAATTTGCACATCAGAGGGCTTCAGAACTTCCTGCAGGCTACACAGTTCTGTACTGTGAGAAGTGAAAGCACTTCTACCTTTACCTAATACTCTGCCTACTTCCAAGTTTCCAGATGCTATTATGCTAGACTGGTGTAGGGCTGCATTACACAAATCAGCTTTCTAAAATTACTTTTGCACCACTTCCTTTTTGGTGTCTTTCCTTATATAGATCTTCGTTCACAGTGTTTAGTAACACTGCTTGCAGATTTAATTCCTGGTATATTGCACCAGCAGCCTCTATTTAATTGTTCATTATTTAAGTTTGTTTTTGTATCTGTTAAATACACATTTCTGGCCTGGAGTCACTGCCTTTGTTTCCAATGTCATTCTGTGTTCATTCATGGTTGGTTATTTGTGCTCATGCATTTGCAAAAAAGCCATGAAATTATTTACACAGGGAGAAAGCAAAGAAAACTGACTGCAGGTTGACTAGCAGGAGCAATGGAGTTCGAGTTGCACCGTCACAGCACATCCGTACTGGGACAGCAAAAGGTAAGGCGCTTTTTCCAAAGCTGTTAGTAAGAAGCAGAACTTGCAGCTGATTTATTCAAAGCCTTCTGTAAAGGGGAAAGCACAAGTCTGAAAAACGTTCTGGTGCAAGTCTTTTGGCAGCCTAATTTGTGCTTTCACTTGCTCTATAAACACACTAGACTCAGTCTTCTGTATCAAATTGCTTGGGGTATGTCTCTTCATACGTAGATAGCAAAATACTAGTGAAGTCTCTGTACGTTGGCTTATGGGCTGGAGTAATTGCACAAACAGCTACTGTTGGGCTATTTCCATTTGAAATTTAGCAGTCTGAGTGTGTGCATATGGAGCATCTTGCCATTAGCGTCCTCTTTCCAACCTACTAGTTTCTTCATCTGTTGTGTAATGTATAAGATACCTGTATAAAATCTGTGGTGTGAACCACTGATAAGCTGTAGTGTTTAAACCAAGTGACCACTGATCTACAACACAGAGCTGTGTATGCTGCCCGAGCAGTTTTCAGATTAGGGTAATCCTAAATGTGGTGTCTTGGTCAAGACTTGTGTACATCAGTCAATTGTAAGAGAAAATTAAATTTGTGTTCCTTTAGTAAACTGAGTCTCCAAGCTTTATTACAAATTTCTGAAGGACTGTGTTACTCATTGACTTTGCCATCATGTTTTCTAAATTCACGATATCAGTTCCGACCTTGTCTTTCTTCTCATGACAGAAGGTTGAAAAAGAGTTCGCCTTTTTCTACACCACCTAATTGGCCTAAGTGTTGAAAGAACTCTTGAAAGTGCCTTGTATTTCTGTTGCTTCCACTTGTGATACAATCTTGCTTAAGCTTTTATTCTTTCTTTTCACTGCTTCTTACCTTGGAGAGTTCCAGCTGGATCCTGTTCTGAATTGTTTGTGTTTTATGGGCAGGTGTTTTTACCTTCTACAAAAAGCATTTGACTAAAACTTTAAGAATTCACTGTTCACAAACTTAGCAAAACTAGAATAATTTTGGAAAGCTCTAGTTAAGTGCCGTTAAGCAGAAAACACTCTACAGCAGAGTTCTGCTGCATGCATTTCTGATTGATTACTGTTTCTGTTGTCAGGCAAAGCGCACTGAGCTTTTATGAACTGATGATGACTTTAGGAGATAATACAGTGGTGCTTAAGGGGCAACCTTATCACTCTCTACAACCACCTCAAAGGAGGGTGTAGCCAGGTGGGGGTCGGTTTCTTCTCCCAGGAAACCAGCAAAAGGAGGAGAGGACACAGACTTAAACTGTGCCACGGGTAGTTTAGGCTAGACATTAGAAAAAAAATTGTCACAGAAAGAACATGGGCTGCCCAGGGAAGGGGTGCAGTTGCCATTCCTGGAGGTGTTTTTAAAAAGACTGGATATGTGGCACTTGATGCCTTGATTTAGTTGATAAGGTGATGTTAGGCATACGTTGGACTTGATGATCTCAGAGGTCTTTTCCAACCTAGTTGATTCTCTGATTCTGCAAAGTTAGTAGGGAATGCTTTTCCATAGGACTTCTGTTTGCTTTCTACCCACCACTCTACAGATGTGAAATTGCCTCCTGTTAACTGTTGGCTGGTTTAAAAAGAAGCTGGAACCCTCAGAGGCTGGAAGCCATTAAATCCTGCTTAGAGATGAGCTTTCAACCCACGTATAAACAGCAAAATGTCTTTTGAGATACTTATTGGAGATACAGTCTAAGGGAAAAAATAAGTCTGAACTCTGCCTAGGTTTATATATCCAGACTTGGTTTGAAATGCCCTATTTCGAGACTGTGATTCTTAACTGCATCATGTTTTCTTTCATTTTCTCCTCCCTATTTTGAGCTTGTCTGAAGCATTAGTTAGTTACAAAGGTAACTTTTAAGACTTGATAGTTTGTGACTAGCACTTTAGACTCTGGCTCTTAGTGATCTCAGGTTCACGTGGGGGCTCCAGGTTATATTAGATGTTCAAAGTACTTGTTAAAATAATTTAAGCAATTATGGGTTTAATCCAGGAAATTAGTTCAAGAATTGAAGCATTAAGGCAACTTTTCGATGAGCCATCTCAACCTGTTACACTTCTAGTAGCAATAAAAAATGAGTATAAATTATAATTATCATTATAATAAATGCTCTTAATTTTTGTCCTGAAGTTTCGCTAACCAAGGTTTTGCAGGCTGGGGTTTCCAGCTAGTGTCTGTCATAGATTCTGAGAGAGGGTGAATTCTTCTTCCCCTCTGAGGCTGAACTTGAAAGCCAAACCATAGCAGCTGCCCACCCTGAAAGCTGGTTTCCAGCAAATGAGTGTCCTGTGATCCATTCAGAATTTAGAAAACAATTTACCACTTTTTCAATTCTCCTGTTTTTCTATGAATAGGGTTTGTTGATAAAGTTTGGTTAAAGCCTGTTCTAGAAGAGTGAGTTGTGAAGTGGTGCATTGTTTTGCCATGTCCTGCTGAGTTAGCTTTCTGCCTGTATCACTGAGGAGCACTGCAGCTCTGCCAGCAGAAATGCTGGATTGCTACTGTTCAGGGGAAATCAGTGTTGGAACACAGCCTGGTATGAACATCACAGCAGTCATTCAGGATTATCATTCTTTTCACTGCTTTGCATAAATATCAATTTTCTGTATCACCTTCTTTAACACCAAGGATTCACTGATCACAAATCTAGGGATGAGACCAGTCCTGAGTGCTGGGAATGGAAGTGATAGGAATACAAGGGACAGATGCAATTAAGTAGGAACAGACTAAAATCTCAACTAGCTTGAAATGTGAGAAAACCAAAATAACCTCACTTCCATACACTGAGATGAAAAATAAACTGACAACTTGTATTTTTAGATCTGAATTTGGATGCTGGATCTGGTCATGATACGTGTGGAGAAACATCATCTGAAAGTTACAGCTCTCCTTCTAGTCCACGACATGATGGGCGGGAAAGCTTTGATAGTGAAGAAGAAAAAGACAGAGGTTGTATTTGTGGAGAGTGTGCATGAATGCCTTTATTCCTAGACTAATCTCTTTGTTGCATTTCTTTTAGTAAGTTTTTCAGTTTGATTAGGTACTTTGTTTTCTGAACTAGGCACAGAATACATTTTTCTTTGCGGATTTTATGATTGGGCGGTTTGAGGGCTTCTAGCACTGTTTAAATACCATTGAATTTTAGGTCTAAACATATGTCATAATGTTTTGGCCTCAGTGATCCAGCTCTCTTGAGAAATTTCTACATTACAATAATGTGGAAAACTTTGTCATGGAAGGGGCTGGGTTTATATGAAATTATGTGTGGCATGTCCGGGAGCTCTGTCTTTTTGTACTGACAGTTTGCCACTCCTTCCAAATTTAAATAGGCTGTGTTAATATCCTTCTAGACAGATGAAAATTCCTAATTCACTCTGTGTCCTACTCTTTGCATTTGCAGATACACACGAGTCAAAAACACAGTAGCTAGTTGGGCAGGTGGATGTAGGCAAGTCATGAAGATGGACCTAGCTTAATTTGGATGAATGAAAAGAATCTGGAAGTTGTCACAGTTTGGGAAGACATAACTATCATTCATGTCATCAAACTCAATAGGTTTTATATGGGTAAACGAGCCCAGGGCATGATTCTCTGTTGCTTGAGATTCATTCTGATTGACAAATGCTTTTGTCCCCACAGATACAGACAGCAATTCTGAGGACTCTGGGAATCAAAATACAACCAGGTTTACAGGCTACAGTGCTGTCAGTTCATCAAATATGAACAAATCATCTGCTCAGATCTCTTCAGTGAATAATGAAAATGGGAGCCTTTCAGAAGATCCTTTGAATTCAAAGTTCCAGCATATTTCCTTCATGCCTGCCTTACACTGTGTGATGCACAGCGCTGCCCAAAAGCCTGAAGCAGTTGTCCCACCACCCATATCTGCAGATGGTAAAACCATGGGAATGCTGGTTACCACACCTGTTGCTGTCTCGCCAGTAAGAGAGTCTGCAAATTCCCCTCCTGCAGGAATGGGCCCAGTGACCTCTGGTGAACCTGAGAAACGCCTTGAGCTCATGGCTTCCCCTTTGCCAGTCCCATCCTCTTTCCTTCCACATTCTGTCCAGCCTGGTAGCCCTGCTTTGCATTTGGCAATACATAGGTTGAAAATCCCCTCTCCACAGGGGTCATCAGAAAGTTGCACAGTTAATGGACCACAGCAGCCGACAGGAAACTTAAGTATTGGATCACCAAATACTGCCTTTATCCCAGTCCACAATCCAGGTAGTTTCCCAGGATCCCCAGTTCCTACTACAGATCCCATCACAAAACCTGCATCCCAGGTGGTAGGACTGAATCAAATGGTGCCTCACATTGAGGGAAACCCAGGAGCAATCCCTCAGCCTACCAATCTCAAGGTAGTTCTTCCAGCAGCTGGTCTCTCCACAGCAGCACCGCCACCTCCACCAGCTTCGTACGCTTTGCCAGGCAGCCCTCACGCTACCAGTGTGTTGCCCAACCAGAATACAAACGTGCTGAGCACTGGAGCAACTTCCTCACCACCTCAGTCCGCTGGCCTCGGTGTTGGTCAGGTCCAGTCCACTGTTCCTCCTGCAATCCCAACGCACACGCCAGGCCCTGCCCCCAGCCCGAGCCCTGCTCTGACACACAGCACTGCACAGAGTGACAGCACATCCTACATAAACGCTGTTGGGAATAATAACACTAACGGGACAATGTTACCTCCGCAGCAGTTGGGATCTGGCCCTTGCGGTTCTTGCGGACGTAGGTGTAGCTGTGGGACCAATGGCAGCCTTCAGATTAATAGCTATTTTTATCATAACCCACTTCATGGACAAGTCTACAGAGTTCCATCTTTCTTCACTCTGCCATCACTTTGCAATGGCAGCTACCTCAATCAAGCACATCAAAGCAATGGAACACAACTTCCGTTCTTCCTGCCTCAGTCTCCGTATGCAAACGGGCTTATGCATGACCCAGTGATGGGGAGCCAAGCCAACTATGGTATGCAGCAGATGGCAGGATTTGGGAGGTTCTATCCTGTATATCCAGCACCTAACGTAGTTGCCAACACAAATGGGTCGGGACCCAAGAAGAATGGGAACGTTTCATGTTACAATTGTGGTGTAAGTGGACACTATGCGCAGGACTGTAAGCAGTCATCCATGGAGGCCAGTCAACAAGGTAATCATGATAACTCCCAGCGGACTTGCTTTTGAGTTTAGCAGTTTCTCTTTACCTTTCTGAATGTGCTGTTTCTGGTCTTGCAGAAAGGTGTGCGTGCGTGTGTATGTTTCGTGTAAATGGTTGTGCACTAGTGACCTGCTCTAAAACTGCAAAGTATCCTATCTCTGCCTGAAAATCTTGTAGAACAGTGCGAGGGAACGGGGTTCACAGCGTGAAGTTGAAAATGGGTTCAGAGCTGGAAAGTCAAATGATACCAGTCCTAAATTGTCATTCTTTTCTCACTGGTTTGGTTTTGGCATTATGTTGAGACTTGCATGTTGTTTCAGTTTTCCCATTCCCATTCAGTGGGGTGCTTTTTGAGAGAATTCACTGGCAAAATGTGAAAGATACCAATTATTGTCTATGATATGGCCTTGGATTCCTAAAATTTCTGAGAATTGAAAGAAAAACCAATAGACTAGCCATTTGATATTTAACGTTTTCTAGGGCTTACCTTTGCACAATCGTCTGTCCTTGTGTACCCTGTCATGCAATACATTTAACTTTTCAGACGAGTTGCAGCAAAAAGGCAGAAATTGATTGGAACTAAATATAAAAGGAATAGCTTCCATTTCCCTCTCTGTCCAGAAGAATGGGGAAAATGCAGGGTTTGCATTGAGCACAAGCTATTTTTGATTCCTGCCCTTGTTCCCATTCTGACTTTAGTAGTTTGATTGGACCAGAACAGGAAAGATGAACCTTGATGGGGGACCATCTTTTATTTTCATTTTTCCAGTAAAGCTCAAGTCCTATATCTACACTCTATATATTTTTTTTAAAACGTACAGTTCTAGCAAGAGGATGAAAGAAAATAGGATAAAGTCTGAGGACCTACTTTAAAAGGACTGGAGGATGATAGTGCCTTTTGAAGAGCATGTCCATTTTGATACCTTGTAGTGGTTTTGTAATCCATTTTAATTGTGAGCAGTGACTTAGTAGTTCTCTTTCCTGTTTTAGGCACTTACAGACTGAGATACGCACCTCCCCCTCCCCCTTCCAATGATACCTTGGATTCTGCAGACTGAAACAAGTAAACATTGCCTACTTAAACTGAAGCTTGGGAAATTGGGGGAAGGTGTGTGTGGGAGGGGGAGGTTGGTCTTGTGTTTTGGGACATTCCCGGTTTTATATTCTTTTGGAATTTTTTATTGCTTTTGCACCTCTGTTCTGTACAAAAGAAGGAAGCTGAGTCCCTGGTCTCCTCCTGGTTCTACAAGAGGCTTGCGTAATGCATGTAATTCACACACACAGCCAAACAATCAGACAGAGCATTCGAACCATGCTTTTGCACTGAAGACTTGAGACATGTGCAATGTTTACTGCAGTTTTTAAAAAAAATTCCTCTGACCTCTGACATCACTGGTGGAGCAGCCATATGGTGAAAGAAGAAACTTGGTCATGTTCCCCACCACAATCTTCTTCCCTCCCTCCCTGTTCTCCTTATGCTGCTGTTTTCTTTTCTTTCCTTGGTTGTCCATGTGGATTTGTTGGACTTGCATGAGTGTTTAACAGTTCATACAGACCCTGCCCGTACTCTAAATTTAATGCTCATGAATTGAGGGGAGATGTTCAAACATCCTATTAGCAGAGTCCAAAGGAAAACACGATACTGTATGTGTACTATACCTGATAATAATACAGATACGCAGCTCTCGAGAGGCCCAAACAAAAGAAAATCCATAGAGCAGGAAGGGGCTGAAACTGTGTGGACTGGAACAGATTTAGAAAAATGAACGAGCTTAAATTGACAGATTTTTCTTCCCTTGTAGCTTTTTAGCCTGTATGTTCAGCAACAAAGGTGAAAAAAATGGTATGAATGTTGTACTCAGTGTGTTTGCATTTGTAATGAAAGTTGACAGCATTTTTTCCTTTTTTAAAGCTATTCTACATCGTGTCAACACAGAATGAACATTACTTGATTGAATATTTTTTTCCTGAACTATTACAGTGTTGCATTGTACTTAGAATGTAAATGTTTTATTTCAAACTCAACAAAAGCTATGGTTTTCTACAAAATAGTCAGGTATTAGTATTAGAACCTGTCTACCAAATAGAAAAGTCACTATTTTATAACAATTTACCACTATGCGTAATTACGGTATAATGTGAAAGACTGAAATGAGTGTTAAGATGGTATTAAACATGTCAGTATCATGAGTAAGTAAGTTTAATGCTGCTGTATTTTTTATTTTATTTTTAAAAGCCAATATATGTACTAAATTGCTTCCAGGTAATATTTGATTTCCTAAAGTGCACTGAGGTTATCTGGAAGACGAGTGTGTTTTTTGACTGCTGCATTCAACACCGATGAACAACTACCACTGTATATCCATAGGGTTTGGCATTCCTCACAGTTCATGGCAGAAATGGTTTTTTTCTTAAAATCAGACCCAGTGTCCGGTAGAGGGATGAAATAAAAATCAGTCTTTGGTTCAACCGTCTAATAAATTGCTAAACAAAAAACTTGAAGAAAAAAGAAAAAAAAAAGCTTGATTACTACATTTCTTCATAGGTAGCATTTATATTTCTAGCACCAGTGTACATTTTGAAACTTTTTTCTTGGGGGAGGGGGGGAAGGGGAGGGAGGTAGATGAAAGCTTTAATTTAAAAAAAAAAAAAAGTTTAAGTAGTAAATGAAAATTATTTTGATTAAAATTTTTATTTGATCTGGGTATTTTTGGACCACTTGAAATGAATGAACTGCGTTTGAGTTGAAGTGAGGGTGTTAAACCACCAATGGACTTGTATTGTGAATTACCTGCCAGTTGTACTTTATGGAACTTATTTTATGATTTAAAATACTGTACTGTAAATAGGAGGTATGTTACCTTCTCTTTATTTGTATGTTTACCATATACTTTGATATTTGAAATGTACTGGAAAGGTCACTTATATTTCTAGAAGAGATTGGATTTTATGCAACCTTTTTCCTTGAATTAACAGCAATAAAAAAAAAGAAAAAAAGTACCTGTGTGCCTGTACTGTCCTTTATCACTGCGAATGATGAATCAGTGCTGCTGGGTATAGGGATGGGATCATGGAGGGTTTTGGCAGGCTACCATTTAGGCTGGAATTTGTCGCTATTGAGACAAAGCCAAGAGTATTTGACTTAAACTGTGGTCAGTGTTGTGTCCAAAGTCAAGATGCTGTATCTCGATTTAAACTTCTTTAAGATATAGGGGATCTCCTGGTAGAAATAGGTCATCCTTGTGTGATAGACCCAGGACTTGGACCTCAACCCTTTCAGAACAGGTAAGCCTATCCTAACCTGATGGCTCCTGGATTTGGGCTAAAATCCAGGTTGAACACATTTTTGTTTTTTCACTTTCATGCAAATAATGTGTGTCCTAAGTGACCAGAAAGTGAGATCTTCTATTGATAAAATAAATGGAAGGGTAACAGGAGTTGCTGGGAGTAGGGAAGAAGCTTAGAAAAATTTGCCTGCTTGCAGGGCAGTTGAAGAGTCTGATAGGAATGTAGTTCTGGATGTGCTCAGGTTGTACTTAGGAAGAGAAGGGTACTGAGGACTCATCCCACTCTGCTGTAAAGAGTACTTCTGATTCCTACTACTAAGCTGCAGTTTATCTATGGAGCCAAGGGCCACAGACTGTCTTGGATTTTTATCCCAGATTACTCCCCAGAACAACCTACTTCTGGAGAAACCAGTTCAGAGGATGAGGAGGTGAAAGTTGCCCATGGACCCAGCCTTTCTTTTTCAGGACAGTTCCCCTAATGGTGGTGGGGTATTGAGCCCAGGAGTCACACAGACACCGTCACACAGCTTCCATTGCCACAAGTGCTCTGCGTCCCTTCTCTGGGCTCAAGGGAGTGCAAACACCTGTCCAAGGAGTTCATAAATTGTGCTAATACTCTGAAAATGCCATCTGCTACTTACAGTGCCTTCTTGAGTTGCTGGCATACTCATTTGCCTCTGTGCTGCAAGCAGCCCTGACTTTGACAGATCCTGGCTGGATTCAATTCAGAAGTGTAAAAATACATACCCTGTGGCACACCAAAAGAAGAAACACCTCATGCTTCTGGTGCTTGTTTTGCTGGAGAGCTGACTGCACTTGTACCTGGCTGTCCTAGCTGGCTGCACCATTGCTGTCTATATAATCAGGTTTCACTCCAGCTGCAGCTCCAGAGATTCTCTCTCCCGCTGACTGGTTTGGAAGCTGCTGAATGCCTGAAAGATAAGTGAGAAAATCGCATTAATTGGTTGGCCTGAGCAGCTATCCAGGCTGTCAAAGAGTGACTCCTGAGTACACTGCTCCTGGTTTGCAGTGCTGCTCTGGATTGGAACCATTTGGTTCCTAAAGCTGGAAGAAAAAATGAATAATGAGGCAGGCATGGGGAGGATTGGAAGAAAGGAGCACATGGGAGTGTGATGATGCACACTGCTTGCTGTGGCTGAACAGATGGCTTCATTTTCCCAGCTAAGTGACCTGAAGATGGCAGGGATGGCCTAGTGCCTTGGTCTTGGCATAGCTGCTTACTACCACTGGAGAAGTGAAGGAACAGCATCTCTGTTGTGCCAAGGCAGAGGTGAAGTAAAAAGGTGGGGGAAGGTACATTGAGAACTGCAGAACTTGGCCGGTGCTGAGCTACTTCAGTTTTAGAGAGGTGGAAGTACTGTTGTAGTTTCTTTCAGCTTTGCTCGTGGTGTGAGCCTCTGGAGGTGTGCTGGCCTGGGCTTCCTGAGGCTGCTCTCCTGAAATAAGTTTGCCTAAATTCTGTGTGCAGAAAAAAATGAGCTTTGGGCAGCAGAGCTTCCTGCTCAGGGCTGGTAACTGGCTGCTGGCGCCAGGCACAATATACATAAAGGCCACGTGGGCTGCCCTTGTGCTTGGGGGGAAGAAGGGGTGTCCTAAAGGCACAGTCATGAGTTTATACTGTAGCTTAAGTGCTGTCTCAGTTTTGTGGAACTTACAGTCCTGTGCTCTTCACATGAGGGAGGAAGGAGAAGCACATCTCGGAGCATTATGCCAGGGTAGCACATTGCCTCTGCCCTTGGCTGCATTCCTCTACCACTGATCAGTGCAGAGAAGCAGGGTTCTCATTTTGGACCAGCTTTTGAGCTGACAGTAGTGGACAGAGCCAAATGCAGCTGTACATTGTGGTAGATTAGAGATCAGAATATATTAACATCTGTATTTGGTCCAGCTGAAAGGCTACCTATGCCTGCAGCCTCTCACCAGCACCGATCAGTAGCAGATACTTCAGAAGAAAGCATTTCTAATACAAAAAAGCAAGTGGTAATGTTGCCTAGCAAAATAACAAGTGCCAGGTTCATCCTCACAATAGGTGGCAGCATAACTCCACCAGTGGTATATTCAGAAACCTGACGTACCACTTAAGGTCACAGAAATCACAGAATTTTCTGAGTTGGAAGGGCCCCTCAAGGATCATCAAGTCCAGCTCTTAAGTCATCAAACCCACAACCATGGTGTTATTGGCACCATGCTTTAACAACTGAGGTCATCTCAGGTGCTTCAGTTTAACTTGGTTTTTGCATCTTCATGCCGTCTAAGTAAGGTTTGACTTGTGATTTTGTAATGCTCGTTTCTACTGAGTTTTCTCATGTTTATGTATTTTCTCACATGATGAGTATACTACTTGTTACCTCTCAAAAAAATAAGCATGCTGACTGTGTTACAGCAGATTGAGGGAGGTGATTCTCCCCCTCTACTCCTCTGTGGTGAGATCTCAGCTGGAGTACTGTGTCCAGCTCTGGGCCAGCCCCCTAACTTAAGATGGATGTGGACCTGCTAGAGTGAGTCCAGAGAAGGGCCATGGAAGATGATCAGGAGGCTGGAGCACCTCTTCTATGAGGAAAGGCTGGAAAAGCTGGGGGTGTTCAGCCTGGAGAAAAGAAGGCTCTGGGGAGAGCCTTATTGTGGCCTCTGATACTTACAGGGTGCCTACCAGGAAGGTGGTTTTAAACTAAAAGAAGGATGATTCAGATTAGATATTAGGAAGAAATTCTTTACTTTGTGGGTGGTAAAACACTGGCATGGGATGCCCAGAGAGGAGGTAGATGCCCCATCCCAGGAAACAGTCAAAGTCAGGTTGGGTAGGGCTCTGAGCAACCTGGTCTAGTGGAAGGTGTCCCTACTCATTGCAGGGAGGTTGGACTAGATGACCTGTAAAGGTCCCTGCCAACCCAAACCAGAGCTAAAATAGCCCAGGTGTCATAACAAATATTGATGACCCAGGGAATTGCATCCAGATGTGAAAGCTCTGTCTTAAGAACTATTGAGGATTAAAATGGTTCTAGATACTTGCATTCATACAATGAGAATTGCTTTCTGAGCACCAAGAAGCTTT